AGATTGTTGTTTGGAATCAGGATCGTAGGCATAGATCCAAGATTTGTCAACACAGATGATGTCGTAGACGTGACTTGACCAATAAGGGCAATAAAAATAACCTCGACATTAAGCACTTAACACAATATTCATGTATAATTTTAATGTATGTATTCCATCATTTTATATGTAAAATATTATATAATGACAGTAAAAATCACGAGATTAATCTCCGTGAAATTAGAGCTAATTAAATAATAAACTCCTTATTTGGACCGTTTTGCTTTAAAACGTATTCTGACTCATTGGAGCTCCGTTAGGTACAAACAAACATACCTATATATACATATACAAAGCCAACAAATGCACGGTAAATTTTCTAATTATTGGTTCCTATACAAGTATCTAATTATAACATAAGAACATTTTAAAAAGTAGTATTATTAAATTAAAAGTTATTATTTAAATTACGTAAATTTTCAACATTATAAGTATAATACAAAGGTATTTGGGAGGCAGCGGCTTGACTCTGCTCCTAGCTTTACTGACGTCCATGGACGCGGTAACAACTCACCAAGTGAACCGTTTGCTCGTCTGTCTACAATGGCAATAAAGAAATCAAGATAATTTATAAAATGCTAAGTTTATTTCTTAGCGTAATTTTTTTAATTATATTTATGAAGTATTAATATCAAAAGTACAAAAACTCTTATATTGATGGGTAAAGGGTCTTCCAAATATCCCTTTCGAGTACCTCAATGAGAACCAACCCCTGTCAATAAGTTACGTAAAACATTCCACGGTTTCAATAGAACAACCCTTCAAGCGGGTAGACACACATTTTGTTCTATACATGTAAAGAAAGTTATTCCTTTCTTTAATTTTAATTATGTCACGCATGCGCTGTCGACATGTGCCGGAACGTCCGCGCATGTGCTGTAAAGTGGAGAAGCCTTGACAGATAAATATTATGTCATTGTATAAAATTTTATGAAAAATAATTTCTAACTAGATTATAAATAAACTTTAAATGTCGTTTCTTTGTCCGAAATAACAANGTTAAATTACAAGATATTTTAATAGATCAAAATAAAAATGAAGATATACAAAGAAATAAAAATAAATTAATTGAAAAAAACAAAGTATACTTAAGAAAGGTCAGAAAAAGAGAAAAAATTATTATTTCAGAAGAATTTAGTATCAAACTCCTAAAAGAAGTACATAAAAACTTCTGCCACATCGGAATAGGTCAAATGCAGAAGACAATAAGTCCACACTATACGGCCAAAAATTTGATGAACAATATTAAGAAAGTTAGTAGAAGCTGTGAAACTTGTATTAAAAATAAATCAAGAAGTCATGATAAATTTGGTTTTATGTCTCATCTAGGCCCAGCTAAAAAGCCATTTGAAATAATCTCTATAGACACCATTGGAGGTTTTGGAAGCTCAAGATCGTCAAAGAAATATCTACACCTGTTAGTGGATCACTTTACAAGATATGCTTTCATATTAACTTCAAAAACCCAGAACGCTAATGATTTTATTAAACTAATTACAAATATAACAGAAACTGAAGATATTGGAATACTTCTCACGGACCAATACCCCGGAATTAATTCAAAAGAATTTAAGGAATTCCTAAAAGATAAACAAATAACGTTAGTCTTTACAGCCGTAAACGCACCATTCTCTAATGGCCTGAACGAAAGGCTAAATCAGACATTAATAAATAAGATCAGATGTACAATAAATGAAAATAAAAAAAAAAAGAGCTTGGACCACAATAGCTAAGGAATGTGCAAATAAATATAATGATACTAATCACTCAGTCACTGGCTATCCACCAAGTTATCTTTTATATGGAACGGATGTTACTGTCGTACCAAATGAATTAAAGCAAGGAAAATCCAATAATGATTGGATTAATGACCGAAAAATCGCACTTGAGAATACAATAAAATCTCATGACTATAATAAAACACTATTCGACAAAAATCGGAAATACTATGAATTCAATGTAGGAGATATGGTGTATGTGGAAAATGGAAACAAGCTTAACAGAAAAAAATTGGATGAACTGAAAATCGGACCTTTTAAAATTATAAACAAAATTTCAAAGTCAATATATAGAATAGATACAGGTCATAAAAAAACAGAATCAAACCTATTTCATATCACAAAACTTATTCCAGTTCCTGTCGTAAAAGAAGAAAATGAAGATGAGGAAATTGAAAAAGAATTAATTTAAAGAAAATTCTGTGTGAATTTTCTACTTTAAGAGGGGAGATGTAAAGAAAGTTATTCCTTTCTTTAATTTTAATTATGTCACGCATGCGCTGTCGACATGTGCCGGAACGTCCGCGCATGTGCTGTAAAGTGGAGAAGCCTTGACAGATAAATATTATGTCATTGTATAAAATTTTATGAAAAATAATTTCTAACTAGATTATAAATAAACTTTAAATGTCGTTTCTTTGTCCGAAATAACAAGCAACACATTGAAGTTTTATTTTAATAAACATATAATACATATAAATAAAACAACATACCTAATAATCTTATATACATATACCTTTTGTGTATATGAACATACCGATTACGGAGGTTTTTTTTCTTTTTTACCATTTAAAATTTTTATTTATTGCTTAGATGGGTGGACGAGCTCACAGCCCACCTGGTGTTAAGTGCTTACTGGAGCCCATAGACATCTATAACGTAAATGCGCCACCCACCCTGAGATATAAGTTCTAAGGTCTCAAGTATAGTTACAACGGCTGCCCTACCCTTCAAGCCGAAACGCATTAATGCTTCACGGCAGAAATAGGCAGGGTGGTGGTAGTTACCCGCGCAGACTCTCAAGAGGCCCTACCACCAGTAACCATTTAATTCCCATTAATATGTTGGTAATCCTTTGTGAGGTGGTTGTTTGGATTCATGAGTTTTTTTTTATAAATAAATAAATAAATAATAGTAAATAAATATTTACTAACAATCACGCCACGTTAACTGGTCCCGTGATAAGTTCGTAAAGAACTTGTGTTACAGGTACCATATAACTAAAATAAATGTACGATTTTTATTATACACATACATATATTTTAATATACATCCATAACCCTGGAAAAGACATTTTATATTTATCATACAAATATCTTCCCTTGGCGGGATTCGAACCCGCGACCCCCTTGTGTAGTGACCATGTCACTTACAGCTACACCAGACGGCCGTTATGTTTAACGTTCGAATCAATTCAAATGTATATTATTAACATGTCGTTTTATTGTTTTGAACAGCATGAAAATTCAAAGATGCCGTGTTCTACTTTACCATAGCTCTAATTTTTTAAATACATTTTTATAATATTTGATATTGTTAAAAGAAATATCAGTAAAAAAAAACAGATTATTTTTCGTTTTCTTCTTTGTCTGTCAGCCGATTCGTTTATTTTGTGTTGTAGTAATGTGCATTTGTGTAATTGGTGGTAGGACCTCTTGTGAGTCCGCGCGGGTAGGTATCTCCGCCCTAGCTATTTCTGCCGTGAAGCAGTAATGCGTTTCGGTTTGAAGGGCGGGGCAGCCGTTGTAATTATACTTGAGGCCTTAGAACTTATATCTCAAGGTGGGTGGCGCATTTGCGTTGTAGACCCATCTAGGCAATAAAAAAAAATGATAATTTTTAACAAGATTTAGTTTACCAGCAAAATCGAAGTTCCATTTACATTTTTTTTTAATATTCACCAGAAAAAGCTGATCATATAATGACATATTAATATAGAAAATGTTGTACACAGGAATCGTTGTCATGAGGTATCAGTGTATATTATCGAATTTACTCCTCAGGTTAGAGCCCCGTGAGCTCACCTACTTGTTCTGCGAATCTAGTCTAATCCCTCAAGGTTACTAGAATAGGTAGGAAAGAAAAAAAGCATTTACGTTCACTAATAGATACATAGGTACTGTAAAATCAAAATGGGAAGAAAGAAAAAAAGCATTTGTGTTCACTAATAGATACCTACATAGGTACTCTGAAATCAAAATGGGAAGAAAGAAAAAAAGCATTTACGTTCACTAATAGATACATAGGTACTGTAAAATCAAAATGGGAAGAAAGAAAAAATGCATTTACGTTCCCTAATAGATACATAGGTATTCCGAAATCAAAATGGGAAGAAAGAAAAAAGCATTTACGTTCACTAATAGATACATAGTTATTCCAAAATCAAAATGGGAACAAAGAAAAAATGCATTTACGTTCACTAATAGATACATAGATATTCTGAAATCAAAATGGGAAGAAAGAAAAAAGCATTTACGTTCACTAATAGATACATAGGTACTGCAAAATCAAAATGGAAAGAAAGAAAAAAAGCATTTACGTTCACTAATAGATACACAGGTACTGCAAAATCAAAATGGGAAGAAAGAAAAAAGCATTTACGTTCACTAATAGATACATAGTTATTCCAAAATCAAAATGGGAACAAAGAAAAAATGCATTTACGTTCACTAATAGATACATAGATATTCTGAAATCAAAATGGGAAGAAAGAAAAAAGCATTTACGTTAACTAATAGATACATAGGTACTGCAAAATCAAAATGGAAAGAAAGAAAAAAAGCATTTACGTTCACTAATAGATACACAGGTACTGCAAAATCAAAATGGGAAGAAAGAAAAAAAAGCATTTACGTTCACTACCAGATACAAAGGTACTGCAAAATCAAAATGGGAAATACTAAACATATTTATCATTCCGAAATATTGCAAGAGCCACCGTCGAATACACTGGGAACGATAGGTACGAGATAAATCTGCGCCGTCGTATCAATGACCCGTGCAATTTGTCGTTGATCTGCTTCCATCATCCGGAGGGGAAGCCGACATCGTCCATAAATTCTTTCGCTCCTCGACAGCATCACAGTTCACATGTACGCGGCATTCTTTATTTTCTATCTGCTGTAGTGGTCTCATGGCATTCCAGTATGAGGCTTCGTTTGGAAAACACGTCGCGAAACCAGTCAATGTTGCGCGCGATAGTTTGACTTGTGTTTTGTGCTGTGCGGTGTGAGTGTGCCGTGAGCGGTCATGCTGTGTTCTTTATGTAAGCTCGTTTTTAAGGTCTGCACTAATAATGTGCTCATTCAAGGCGTTTATATACACCAGGGGTGGCCAAATCGATTAGAACCCAGATCTACGTCTTCTGACGAAACATTGTGCGATCTACCAATGACTTTTCCTGAAATTTAATGAAACCATGTAGTTCAATATACAAATAAGTAGCATATTTACTGTTATTACAATAAGATTAAAAAAAACCTGAAATTTATACTAATATTATAAAGAGAAAAGATTTGTTTGTTTGTTTGTATTGAATAGGCTCCGAAACTACTGAACCGATTTGAAAAATTCTTTCAGTTTAGAAGCCACACTATTCCGTAGAGACATAGGCTATAATATTTTTGAAAAAAATTAGGGATCCTTACTAAAATTCCAATAATGTAACCCACGGTGTAAAAAAATACTCACAATATTCTTTACATCGCGTGCCCTGTGAAAACTATTGATGATAGAATAAAATAATGTACTACGACTTTGTCGATTTATAAAAAGTATCGCGACAGCATATTCGTAACTTTTATAGTTATGCGGCAATAAGTGTTCTTTTATTTAAAAACATAAAACAACGTCAAATATCGTTGAAATTTTTGTTAAAGACCCGAGCGGAGTCGGAGCGGGCCGCTAGTTTATAATAATAAAAGAGAACTATGGTCATTAACAAATGATACAAGATGAAGATGATGCGCGCAGAAGTTGGTGATTACGTTGCGCAGTCTGTTCTACGTATTTGTATTTTTTTATCTTCCCACGATCGACCGGTCGATCGCGATCTACCGGTTGGCCACCCCTGATATTCACGAATAAAGTTGCGTGCTAAGCTATCAATGTGTACATATATCTTGGAATACCCAAAAGATATTTACTTATTGATGGGAAATCGTTTTTAATACTCTTTTATTAGCTTCAGATGTATAACGGAATCTTTGAACATGATTTTGACTCCGTTTAAAACGTCGGATCAACCCAAAATTTGGTATACTTATGACCGATGACAATTCAATATTTAAAAAAACGTTGAAAAAATTGAAATTCAACTAAAAAATTAAAAATTATCCGAATGTTATTATTGATTGTATTGAAACGAGTGTGCGAATGTTTTTATCGGTGGTAGGGCGTATTGGGCCATTGAATATGCACCGCTATATTACCGGCTACCCATAGACACAGCCCACTGAGTTTCTCGCCGGATCTTCTCAGTGGGTCGCGTTTCCGATCCGGTGGTAGATTCTGCAAAGCACTGCTCTTGCTAGGGCCACTATTAGCATCACTTCCGGTCCCGTGTAGGTGACACGTTAAGGCGAAGCTGAAATAGCCTCTCAAGACTATCAGTTTTTCAAAACAAGAACGGTATAGATAAAATAAGTTAATCCCGAGATCTCAATGATTAATGTTTGCAATTTCGATCGTTGCATGTAGACTAGTTTGAATAACGGAGCGGTCGATTTCGGAAGCGTTTAAATAATTAACCGACCATACGCCAATCAAGATAACAGACAGACCGACGTTCATAATACAGGCTTCATAATAAAATTGGGTTGTCCGATTCGTTTATGCCTACAAAAACAAAAATATTATTTCAAGGTATTTAATCGTGCCACGTATGTTAATGTATATTAGTGATCCCCACAGTAGTCGAAATTCGACTATAATTAATTGAAATTAAAAGTTTAAACATTATTATGGCTCTATTGTCAAGCACTATTATACTTCTATAATAATACAGATTTCGCCATAACTACACTATAAATAAATAGTATTAAAGACAAACAATATTAATCTATTTTCAATTTGACCACAGACTAGGTATATAGAATAACAAAAGTTTCACAATTGACAATACACAAAGAGTATATTTATACGTATGTGTTGTGTCAAATACATGATAGTGTGTGTAATGTTTTCTTTATTGATTTAATGTATTTTTAATGCAAAATTTTAAAAAAATATTAGAGTTCTGCACTTCTCTATGTTCTCTATAAGTGTGAGAAATTTCATACTCCTCCGTCCGCACAATTTTCGTAAAAGGGGTACAAAGTTTTTGCTTCACGTATTAATATATAGATTAATGAGAGAAATCGTCTAAAAATTCTTGGAAAAGAGTGATTCGAAAGGAATAACGATAATTCATACGTGATTAGTATAAAAATAAATAATGTAGTGTGTAAAATTTCTTTCACGTGCATCAAGTGTGTAGAATTATGGTTTTCAACATTTTTCATCCTTAAATGAAATTTCTATTGTAACAGGGAATACTTTGTATTAGAAAAACGACCTATCTCGATTTGTCCTTTCCCTCTCCCCACGGTCGAGTGGTTCACGAGACGCTCTGTCTATTTTCTCACTCTTGCTCGTCCTAAATTGTATCTTTTCTCTCTAGCCGTAACGAATCTGTCGTGAGTTAAAATTTACTCTCAATGCGCCTTAAGAAGTTGCACTTCTATAAAAACCGTGGTTATGATATTAGACGGTTATGTGAGGAGGGGGCTTCCTACACAGACCTGAACGGATTGTTTGAAAGAGGATAAGCCAGAGAAGAGGGTGAGTGCATACATCATGTATGATAGACCTGAATAGAAAAGAAGACATGTCGTAACGACCCCACATAGTGGGATAAGAAGAAGAAAAAAACATGGTTTTTATGTGATATGTTTATAGTCAAAAACGAAAATTATACTGACTAATGCTGATAGCTCTTATATAGCTTTAGTATAGTGCTTATTTTTAGGTGTTTTAAGGTAACATGAGGTCGAAATCTCTATTGATAGGTAACCCTTAAAATTTCTTTATTTATTTATTTATAGCGACCCGCCCTCGCTTCGCTTCGGAAACATTAAAACACACATGAAACCAAAAAATAAAAATAAAAAAAAATAAAAAAAAGTAGCCTATGTTCATCAGGGACAATATCGGCTTCTAATGGAAAAATAATTTTTCAAATCGGTCCAGTAGTTTTGGAGCCTATTCGAAACAAACAAACAAACAAATCTTTCCTCTTTATAATATTAAGTATAGACTACACTTCATGTAAAATGTACATTGGCGGACTTAATGCCTTAGTCATTCTCTACCAGTCAATCAAAGGTAGTGCAGAGTGCATAGTGGTAGGTGCAATGAAATTTATATTAAGTTACAAAAAGTATATACATATATACATACATACACACATTAACACATATACACATACACACATAAATACATACATACATACATATAATAGTTTATACAGTATTAAAAGGAATATATTAATGAATTTCCTTGACAAATAACTTCATCTTAATAAGTTCATGATGATTCCGCTAACTTTTCCAACAACATTCGCTGAACCCTTAACTTGAACGCGCAGCGGTTAGTAATGGTCCTGATCTCGAGAGGAAGCGCATTCCATAGCAGAACAGATTGCACGACGAAAGAGTTACGAATATAATTAGAACTATGTGTGGGACAATGAATTAATAGGCTATTGAGAGAACGTAGGGCCCGCTCATGGCTGGAGTGAAGATATTGAAAATAGGGAGTTAGATAGGAAGGAGGTTCGGGGGACATAAGTAAGGAATGAAGAGTCGTCAGTGCACGTAAATTATGACGCTGCCGAATCGGTAGAAGTTAAAATTGCATTACTTAAAAACGTAAAGGTTATGGGAGTTAACAAACAACAAGGGTGTGACAGAAAACCATAAATGTAGGGTATAATCATGCTTACGGGTCATGAAAACCGAAGAAAATACAATAAATGCGGTGTCGTAAAAGTGATTCTGTATTATACAAGTTTAATTAAGGATCATCTCATATTTGAGTAAAATGTTGATGATAAGATGAGATCTGAGAGATGAGAGAGATGAGCTCTTCAAGATCGACAATTTTTATAAGTTGCGCAGTGATTTTTGTTGGATTAAGTTAGTTATCATCCCCCATAGTCGTTTAGTGCGGTAGGACTCTAAAAATATTCTTAGGCCCACGATCTGTTCCCAACATCTGCAAACAGTCAAGTCTCTCGTACCCTGCGTGCCCCATAAGCGCGGAAACTACGTAGGAGGTTCGGCTCCGTGTCCGAAAAAAAATGACCATCTCCCCTGCCCGAAAAAAAATGACATTACATCCGCCCTTCTAACTAAGCCCATGGGTCATGCGTATTTCTGCCACAAAACTGTGTTACAGCTTGAAGAGCAACTGCGTCACTCTAATAACGATACAATCAGGGCATCATTACACTAGACGGGTTAGTCGAATCCTGGTACTATATCGCTATTAGAGCTAATGGCCATAATGAAGTGGTACCACCCTCCACCTTGAAACATGAGGTTGAAGATATCACGGCATTTCCACTATTCAAACCGGAACGCATGATAGATTTGTGGTCGTAATAGATAAAGTGGTACCTACTACCATTTAAGCCCCATTGATCACGTTATGGTATCTGAGCTTCTTAGTGGACCAGGTAGATCGCGAGCACATCTACCAATTGACAGCATTATATGAAAACATATGTACCTACCTGAACATAAAGAGGCGTTATTATTTCTATTAAAGCGGCGATATTTTGTAAAGATATAAAGTATATGGCTTCGGCAACGAGACGTAAAAATGTACGTCGTAAAAACGGTGAATCACCTTCCGTACCCTTCAGAGTGTGAGCGCAGTAAATATGACCTTTTATTGGATACCGTTTTATGGATCTCCATTCCGAATTATCGTTTTAATATAATCGAATATTCTTATCACTATCTATTACCAAAAATGGACGAAATTTGACTAAAACCCAAATCGCACTAACAACCATTACAAGAAAATCTGAAATTTATACAAGTGCCGACTAAAAATATTCGGTGCGTTGGTCTATTGAGCAAAGCCCTGTCTTTCGCAATTTGCTCAAAGTAATTTTATTTTTGGTTCAAATTGGTATGTAAAATTATACCTTTCACTCTTTATTTTGCGCTCTATAATACTATGTATAAATAAAGCTTGGTCTATTGAGGAACTTTTTTGGGCTTTAAAGTTATATAATAATATATTAAAATATATTTATTTATTTATAACTTCTTATACTAGAAAGTATAAAGGCGGACTTAATGCCATAGGCATTCTCTAATAGTCTACCTTAGGGGAGTGCAGAGATGAAGCTTGGTAGGTGTAGTGTGAAGGTAATATTACTTAAGCATATGTGTATATATAACGTACATAATATTTATAGATACAAATACTCGTACTTAAATAAATACATATAAATGCATATACATATACTACATACATTTAGCGGTAGGCAGCGGCTTGGCTCTGCCCTTGGCATTGCTGAAATCCATGGGTGACGGTAGCCACTCACCATCAGGTGGGCCGTATGCTCGTCTGCCTACAAAGGCAATAAAAAAAAAAACATAATAATGCAAATATAATAATACATAGTTCCACGGCAGCCATGTCATGGCAAATTAGAATAACATATACCTACAGTGAGGTAGTGACGAATTAATTTCATTATGAAACGACTGAATTACTTTTTCAAAATCTAAATTTCAATTTGGTACATTGTTGCGAAACGGTATATTATTGTCACGTCACATGCACGACTAATCCTACATTTTAATTTGGAATCAATAATAACCGTAGCCAATGTACATTCATTTGTTTTGCAGAATCTCAACAACATACTTCTAGCCTTCGTACATTATATAAAAATGTTGATTCAGTTTACTTAATCTAAATTAAAAGTAAATAAAACGAAGGATTGGTACGAAAAAGTATTGGATTGAAAACAGAAGAGAGAACAAGATAAAGAGATGGACGTGAAAAACGATGATATTGAACTTAGCGTGCAGGGAACAAGCAAGCCAAGGTAAGGAAAAGTTTATATTACCAATACAGCGTAATGTAAGTTCACATTCTCACAGTATATTGCCTGGTTCTATCGCGAAACTATCAGAATCCAAGTGGTTCAGCAAAGCTCATGAACATACTAAGGCGATTGCAGCCACCCGTCTTGATACGTGAACCGTGACGGTGATACCAGCCCATGCGGGTTTATGGTATGCCCTATCAGTAATATTGCTGAAATACAATGTTTTTGGATTTGGTTTTATTACATGGTTTATTTCCTCTTAGACAAATTTATACTTAGTTTGCAGGGCTTGATAAAAGTAATAGGTTAGGTTCGAGATATTTAAAAGTATGTCCATTAAAAATCACTTAAATGGTAATAAAAACTTTCGTAGTGACGTCGCGATCAAATCCAATTTGCCGGAGCGAGAATCCTGGGCCAGCAAGCTAGACTTCATCCTTTCTGTAGTTGGCTTGGCCATTGGACTTGGTAACGTTTGGCGTTTCCCTTACCTCTGTTACAAGAATGGCGGGGGAGCCTTCCTCATTCCTTACTTCCTTACACTCTTCCTCGCTGGTATACCGATGTTTTTCATGGAACTGGCCATGGGACAAATGCTGACGATTGGAGGCCTCGGCGTTTTTAAGATCGCCCCGATTTTTAAAGGTGAGTTAGATTCGATAAATAATCTTGAATTTGTGATTTTAATCTCATAATGATTTTTGAGAGAATGAGTATTGGATTTTATTTTATCGGAATTAAGGATCAGTTTAGTCTGAACCTGTTTGGTAGATTTATTGAGGCAATATTAGAATTTAGAATCGTAAAATTAGAATTTAGTTTGTAGATAATACTTTATTATAAAAGATAATAAAACTGCTTACTCAACAAAATTTCCATGGTTCGAAAAAAGATACAATAAATCTTTTGTCGTGGTGATCCTCAGTATCGTCTTCAGGATATTAAACAAAATAATTCATATTATTGTATTCCATGGGATTTCTTGAAATTGCTAGTATCCTAAATACGTCCCCATTCGAATTATTTAAAACGGCTCAAAAAGTTATACTTTTTAAACAGATACAAAATTAGAACTCCGTAGTCGCGCTTAATAATGCATTTCACTATTCAAATTGACTTTGAAGCATTTGTAAATATTTCGGAAGGTCAATTGGATTTTGGAAATGTCACAAAAATTCGAACCCGAAATCTAGAATTTAACGATCAAAACTTCAATCAATTGTAAAATACTTTTTTGTTACCTTGAACGATCCTTTTGGAACATCCAAAATTAATTTGCAATTCCAATTTAGAATGATAAAACGGGATTTTGAAACAAAGAGACAATGGGATAATCTCGGAATCGTTTCTTAGATGCCATCTTTGAAATGTTTTAACACAAAAGAGTTAATAATTTCAAACATCTTTAGCATTTGATTCATTTTAGGTTTCAGAAACAGAAGATCCAGATTACGCTTTGATTTATTTTTCGTTTTCAAGCTGATACATTTTTAGGTTACTGTTACCTACTAGTCTATCTTAGAATAGTATTAATTATTGGTAATGGTGGTTGCGTTTTTAATCCGGTAGTGGATGAATTCGCGAAGCAGCTGCCTTTGACTGCTACGTCTCCTTCGGAAGCGTTTCAAAAACATTGGATGAATATTGAACATTTTGTATTAAATGTATGTTTGAGATCTGTCTAGAAAATAGGTTTACCGCATTTCCCACTGCCGAGTATTTTATTTATAANAATAGTATTAATTATTGGTAATGGTGGTTGCGTTTTTAATCCGGTAGTGGATGAATTCGCGAAGCAGCTGCCTTTGACTGCTACGTCTCCTTCGGAAGCGTTTCAAAAACATTGGATGAATATTGAACATTTTGTATTAAATGTATGTTTGAGATCTGTCTAGAAAATAGGTTTACCGCATTTCCCACTGCCGAGTATTTTATTTATAAATTTACACAAAAACACTTTAGTAGAATAAAAAGCACAAAAGAACTTCGCGATTATGGTTTTGGCCAATGAAAAAAAAAAAATTTTTTAATTATTTTACAGGCATTGGCTACGCTGCAGCCGTGATGTCTTGTTGGATGAATGTTTACTACATCGTAATTCTGGCCTGGGCTATATTTTACTTCTTCATGTCGATGCGCTCAGGTAATTATGCATTTCAAAAGTGTAACCATAAATATATGCTAGGACCCATGGTAGGACCCATGGTTTTTACTGGTGGTAGGACCTCTTGTGAGTCCGCGCGGGTGGGTACCACCACCCTGCCTATTTCTGCCGTGAAGCAGTAATGCGTTTCGGTTTGAAGGGAGGGGCAGCCTCAAGGTGGGTGGCGCATTTACGTTGTGGATGTCTATGGGCTCTAGTAACCACTTAACACCAGGTGGGCTGTGAGCTCGTCCACCCATCTAAGCAATAAAAATAAAACAAAAAATAGGACGTATTGTGATCCCACCCGGGTAGGCTCAACTGAATATTTTTGCCGCGTTGTTGTCATGCGTTCCAATTTGAGGAAGTAACAACGCTTAGAGAATACAATTGAGATCTCGGGATCACGTTTTAAGGTTGATGACGTCATACACGTTGCTAAGTCTAACTCCCATAATCTCAGCCCCAGGCGGTTCCTGGGGTAATTTTTCCATCTCGCTTATAGCGTATCTTTTAAACAAATGAAAAAATAAACCTTATAATTTTCTTTTACCAATAGAATAAAATTTTCTTTTACCAATAGAAAGATTTGCTTAAAGAACGTGTTTATAGAGTATTCTTTCTTAATAACTAGCCCTGATGATTGATGATTAAAGTATTCTGACCTGATGATTCAAGTATCCATTACCTTCATTCAAATATACCTGTACCTAATTGTTACCACGCAGATGTTCCATGGCGTAATTGCGACAATTACTGGAACACACCGAGTTGCGTGAACCCTTACGATCGTAAGAACCTGACTTGCTGGTCTAGCAAGGATATGTCGACTTATTGCATCCTCAACGGCAAGAACTTCACCAAAGCTATGCTCTCTGATCCGGTCAAGGAATTTTGGGAGTAAGTATTCCATTGTTTATCCTGTGTTCTATTTAACTCATTATATGCGCTAATTTGCGCTGCTTTGTTGATCGATTTTGACCCGATCACCGCCAAACTCACCGGATCATCCGGCAAATCATTCCAGCTGTTGCAGAGTTAAGTGGGAACACACATAGATTTTAAATATACATATATCTGTATATATTAATATTGACAAGCTATCTATTGTGAGTGCTGCCTGATGGTTTAGGCATTATTACATTGGACAAGTTAGCGATTAAAACAGTATGGTTGGCGCAAATTAATTGAAGTTTTTCAATCAAAACACTTTAAGCTGTTTTTGGAACTTTATTTTGTTCGCTACTTTGCGGGGCCCTATTAAAAACACATTCAAACTGAATGTTATTAATACTAAGTTCTGTGCTGGGAGTTGGCACCTGTTATATCAGTAATAGATAGGCGTGAGATCATAAAGAATGGTGGATAAGTAAGCGTATCATAATTACGGACTTATATCTTATTCTCCGTTTTATATATAGAGCGATTGGGGGATTTTGCAATATACCTATGTAAGAAATACAACTTTATTAGAATATTTATATTCCTTAAATTTTTCCTGACCTGACCTACTAATTAATTAAGATTTAGAAGAAAAAAGAAATGTCTTCCTAAAAAATTTCAAATTGATTGATGGAAAACTTAGTTAAGGAATTCCTTGGAAGAACTTAGAACAGGAACGAGGACCACGAAATCTATTATACCACTGTCTATGATTAAGTCAAAGAGTAATACGGAAAATTTGTAAACATTTTGTACTACAAAGGTTGGAAAATAAAAACAAAGTCTGCAAACCGTACAATTCCACAGACGCCGCGCCCTACAGATTTCATCAGGCATCGAGCATATTGGCAACATCCGCTGGGAATTAGCCGGGACCTTGCTTCTCGTTTGGGTTCTGTGTTACTTCTGCATTTGGAAAGGAGTGAGATGGACAGGCAAAGTTGTTTACTTTACTGCACTGTTTCCATACTTTTTGCTTACCGTGCTGTTAATTAGAGGTAATTATTTTAAAGATAAATTAAAATTAAAATTTCTGGACGCTTAAATATTTTTTACGCATGATGTTAATGCTTTTTGTTTTTATTGCGTATATGGGTAAACAAGTTGACTGACATCTAGTCTGGTCATCGGGGCCCTTACATGATGAACCTGATGTATATATTACGGTATACCTGTAAGCCCAGAAAATTCATAGCAATAAAGCTTATAGCACACCAGCACTGGATAAACCCGCTAAGTCTATTTCTGAAATCAAATAACAATTGATTAGAAAAGAGTGTCTAAGTGAGGATAGACTGTGTGAAAGTGAATATGCGAGAGAATGATGATAATATTTTGATGGCCCTGAATAGAAAAAGAGGACATCCTGCGCCAACATTGGGATAAGAGGAAGAAGAAGAAGAAGAAAGAGAAACAAACTTAGAAATAAATATTTGGATCACATGTCTACAGACGGATGGCGATAGTCATGTTTTCGTGATCGAATATAATAATACCTTGACTTCCTATTTCTGAGAATTACTTAATATATAGTTAATTAAGCTGAATTGCGCGTCCCACACATAAAATATCGTTCAAGAATAACTTTTCTAAATCCATAATTAAAAAATGGCCGCCTATTCACCTTTTCGTTTAATCCATCCGAAAAATCCATTACTGAACCCACCATTTTATCGGCCAGGTATAACGTTACCGGGAGCCTTGGAAGGGATAAAGTTCTACGTGATGCCAAACATGTCCAAGCTACTGGAGTCTGAAGTATGGATTGACGCTGTCACTCAAATCTTTTTCTCGTACGGACTAGGCCTCGGCACTTTAGTAGCTCTTGGTAGCTACAACAAGTTCACGAACAATGTTTACAAGTAAGCCTTGGTATTTTAAATTATTTTATTTTGTTATTAATATTAAGTATGGGCACAATTTGGCAACCGTTACAGAGAAGTTTTATAGTATATCTTACATTACTTAAATTTTTATCCCATAAAATACAAGTGATTAACTCGTTTATGTGGCGAAACAAGAGTTAAAAGAGCAATTACGAAAAACCTATCTCTGGGGTCATAAGTGAACTAGTGGGTCCAGTTACTATTAGTTACAACTTGGACTATGGTCCAGTTATTTATAGTTAAACTAACGAGAGAGCTACCGAAGCTACCACTGTCACACCTACCATTTGAGCAACAAATCCACACCGCTTCGGACAACAAATTATAATATTACTTCTGTAGGGGAATGATAAGGTAAGGTAATGATAGGTAAGGTAAGACAAGTGTAAGGTTTATTGGGTGATGAAGGAGGGAGGAGGCATGTGCGTTGGTTGTTTGTTCCTCCATAAACCTCATCTGAGTGGCCAATAAAACACTGAGTATATTAATTACACGTTTATTCGCGTCAGCGACCGCGGTGGATCGCTGCACGTTGACTACTGACTGACTAACGTATGCTGCTCATTACTATAATATGCACAATAACTGCATAGTAAGCTAAGCGGGGTGGGGTATCANGAGGGAGGAGGCATGTGCGTTGGTTGTTTGTTCCTCCATAAACCTCATCTGAGTGGCCAATAAAACACTGAGTATATTAATTACACGTTTATTCGCGTCAGCGACCGCGGTGGATCGCTGCACGTTGACTACTGACTGACTAACGTATGCTGCTCATTACTATAATATGCACAATAACTGCATAGTAAGCTAAGCGGGGTGGGGTATCATTACCCTACACTTCTATAAATCTGACTGATTCGGTGGTGCTGTAGTTAGCGCCGCTGACACTATTGCTGTAGGGTCGTGGGTTCGATTCCCACATCGGGCAAAAGTTCATGTGATGCACAGGATTTCTTTGCTCTTTTTCTGGGTGCTTATTATATTACATGTATATAAATATGGGTGTCAGTCTCTGGTATTCATAACACAGGGAATCCTGATAAAACGCCAGATAACCATACGTGATTTGTTTCATGTTATTTATTATTATTTATAAACTCAACCTTTATAATATTATAATGACTCTTTGTTTTCCAGGGACGCTCTGATAGTCTGCTCTGTTAACTCCAGTACGTCAATGTTTGCTGGTTTCGTCATCTTTTCTGTGGTTGGCTTTATGGCGCATGAACAGCAGCGTCCTGTGGCTGAAGTCGCCGCTTCTGGTAAAGTTGGCTTTTCTGCGTTTCCTATTGCATTTCCTTATCCAAAAAGTATAATAGTATAACGTAATACATGTATATTTTTGCAACTTTACCGAAGAGTCATTTAAAGTTTGCAAAAAATATCATAACAGATAGCTATTTGAATGTGGTAAACTTAATTTAAGTTCAATTAAAAACAGCGAATTATATTTATAGTAATACCCAATAAAACGGACATTTAATTATAAAGATAAATGTCCCGTATTAAGCGAAGTGCAGCTTAAACCAAATAGCCTTTCACCCCTCGATATAATAATAAGGTAGTTTTTTATGGCCTTACTAAGTAGACGAGCCTACGGCCCGTGTGATGGCCTGTAGTTACCATCGTTCATGGACATCAACAATACCTAGTCTTACAGTCATATGATTGGTTTAACTCAACTTTCTATTAGCTTACATTCATTTTATCCCACTTACATGGGATATTAACTAATGGAAGATTTGTGTTGAAATAAAATAAATATGACGAATGATTAATGATGAATTAATGATGCGGAAACGAAGAATAAATGTGACGAATATAGAACGGATGCCGAAAAATAATAATTAATAGCCATATACCTTCTTCGGCATTAAAACTGTATAATCTCAAAACTTACTAAATTTTACAGGAAAGTGTTTTAAAGGTTTAACATATGATATTTTTAATATTAATCATCATCTTTGCAACATTTATTTTTTAGTTTTTTTCAGTTACATTATCTGTCTTTTAAAGTAAAATAAAATTATGTTTCAATTTTGTTAATAGTAGTCAAAATATAGGTAAACTAAAAAAAAACTAAAACTAAACTACGTTCTTTTGACAGTATTTATGAGAAAAATACTGGTGATATCAAATTATTCCGCATATTAAATCAATTTCGAATATTTTCGGAAATTGTACACTTTTAATGCGAAAAGACGATATGTATATTTCAGAGTAGAATTTCACAAAGCTTCTTCCGTTTATGTTTGTTTATATATTTTGCATTTCAGGTCCGGGCTTGGCATTTCTGGCGTACCCATCAGCCGTCCTTCAGTTGCCAGGTGCACCGCTCTGGTCTTGCCTGTTCTTCTTCATGTTACTCCTCATTGGCTTGGACAGCCAGTTCTGCACCATGGAAGGCTTCGTGACCGCCGTCATCGACGAATGGCCTAAACTCTTGAGAAGGCGAAAGGAAGTGTTCATTGCAATTACTTGCGTTATTTCTTATCTGGTCGGATTGTCTTGTATCTCTGAAGTGAGTTTATATGAATTATTATTGGCCAGTTTTTTGTTTTTATTGCTTAGATGGGTGGACAAGCTCACAGCCCACCTGGTGTTAAGTGGTTACTGGAGCCCATAGACGTCTACAACGCAAATGCACCACCCACCTTGAGTTATAAGTTCTAAGGTCTCAGTATAGTTACAACGGCTGCCTCATCCTTCAAACCGAAACGCGTTACTGCTTCACGGCAGAAATAGGCAGGGTGGTGGTACCTACCCGTGCGGACTCACAAGAGGTCTTACCACCAGTAAAAAGCAGCAAGCAACTTCAAATAAAACTAATTACGTAAAAAGTGTCCTGCAGCAATAATATGAAACTGATAAAACTTTAACACATATCTTAAGGTATGTTTAATGCAATAGAGGCCGTGAACGCATCTACTAATGGGAGTCAGTAAAAATCTTCCCGCGGAAGATGGGTGGGTGGCGCATTTATGTTGTAGATGTCCTTGGGCTCCAGTAACCACTTAACACCAGGTGGGCTGTGAGCTCGTCCACCCACCTGAGCAATAAAAAAAAAATGCACCAAGATCGTGTTTCAGTCAGGGAAACATCAACTTACATTTAATTTTAGGCTTCGCTAATCCCTGAATGCCAATTGAGTTGTATCTTTCTACCCATGATGACCCGTAAGATCTAAAGAGTAAATTTGCCTCAATTCAATTATTGATAATCACTTATCTTAAGGTGCTGGTGTTATAAAAAGTACCGAGGTTGGTCATTTTTTTTTGTTTTTTTTTTTAATTGCTTAGATGGGCGGACGAGCTCACAGCCCACCTGGTGTTAAGTGGTTACTGGAGCCCATAGACATCCACAACGTAAATGCGCCACCCACCTTGAGATACAAGTTCTAAGGTCTCAAGTATAGCTACAACGGCTGCCCCACCCTTCAAACCGAAACGCGTTACTGTTTCACGGCAGAAATAGGTAGGATGGTGGTACACACCCGCGCGGACTCACAAGAAGTCCTACCACCAGTAATTATGCAAATTATAATTTTGCGGGTTTCATTTTTATTACACGATGTTATTCCTTCACCGTGGAAGTCAATCGTGAACATTTGTTGAGTACGTATTTCATTAGAAAAATTGGTACCCGCCTGCGGAATTCGAACACCGGTGCATCGCTCAACACGAATGCACCGGACGTCTTATCCGTTAGGCTACGACGACTTTAAAACTAATTATATTGTTTTAGGGTGGCATGTACGTTTTTCAAATCCTCGACTCGTACGCTGTCTCTGGTTTCTGTCTGCTGTTCCTCATTTTCTTTGAGTGCGTCTCCATCTCGTGGGCCTTCGGTGTTAACCGTTTCTATGACGGGATCAAGGAAATGATCGGATACTACCCAATGATTTGGTGGAAGTTCTGCTGGGTTGGATTCACTCCTGCCATTTGCATTGTGAGTATAGTATAGTAAGATCGGATAATTTTATAATAAATAATTTACAAGTATTTTAGTAAAATCTACCTGATTTGTGACTAGTTTGGACGACTGATCTCTTAAATACTATCAAATGAAACCGATCAATAACTCAGTTCTTCAAATTAATATATTATAATATAACTTTATATGTAAGTAAAATGCCATAATATATTACAATATATACTATATATTGTTACGCGCTGGGGTTCGAGATAAATAAAAAGTTCCACCAAAGTACAAATTAAAACTGTATTAGCACTTAGAATACTTAAAACACTTCACAAACACTTTAAAATTTTCAATTCACTTCTTCCGCTCAGTTCAGGTGATCCGTTCGCTGTTTCGCTTCGAGTAGTTCCGATTTCTAACTAATTGTGTGCCATCTCTGCAACGCTTTTATAGTCGATACGACATCCCTAGAACTGTCGAGAACATTCCTCACAAGTCGAGCTTTTCGTGGCGTGCTTCTGCTATCCGACAATAGATGGCGTTTTACGTCTCGAGCGTTCTAGGTGTTACTAGATCCTTTGATATTCATTTCGACTATGCGGCAATAGATGGCGTTACTCTTACCGGCGTAACAATATTATGATAACAGTGATTCTGAAAATTCGATTCATAATTCTAATTATAATGACAACTTTTTTATTATCTGCTCTCAATAGTTTATAGAATTAAGTTATGGCTTCCATAATATTCATAAGCATTTTCGTTTGGTTGTTTGATTACCACTACTGTTACACTACATATAAGTTTTCAACCAACGTCTACGATTACTGTCGTAGAATAATAGTGTGAGTGAGAGAGTGATGTTAAAAAAAAAGTGTTTCATTGAATTTCAGAGCGTTTTCATCTTCAATCTCGTGCAGTGGACTCCAATCAAATACATGAATTACGAATACCCCTGGTGGTCCCACGCATTTGGATGGTTTACCGCTTTATCTTCGATGCTGTGTATCCCTGGGTACATGGTATACCTGTGGCGTGTCACCCCCGGAACCTGGCATGAGGTAAAAACAATTAAACATATTATTAAAGTAATAAAATCCCGTTTCTCGAAATTCTGCCATAAATAGGTCACGCATTGTGGTTTGACGCCTGGGACAGACTAGACATAGAGACTAGATATAATAGACACACAATGGAGACCTTAGAACTTATATCTCAAGGTGGGTGGCGCATTTACGTTGTGGATGTTTATGTGCTCCAGTAACCACTTAACACCAGGTGGACTGTGAGCTCGTCCAACCATCTAAGCAATAAAAAAAATAAAAAAGACTTCAACCTCAGGATTCAAGGATTTAAGTAAATGGGTACTGGGAAACTTTTAAAGGCAGTTCGTCATGAGAACGCCTGTCCATTAACTGGATGTTTTTATATAATACAACCGGCCCGTTCCGGCTCCGCTCGGGTCTTTAACAAAAATTTCAACGACATTTGACGTTGTTTTATTTTTTTAAATAAAATAACACTTATTGCGGCACAACTATAACAGTTATACATATGCTTTTTGTAAATAATAATGTGTTCTACAAAATCGTAGTACATTATTTTATTCTATCATCAATAGTTTTCGCAGGGCTCGCGATGTAAAGGCTATTTTAGGTACACCTTGGGTTACATTATTGGAGTTTTAGTAAGAATCCCTAATTTTCTTCAAAAAAGATTATAGCCTATGTTACTCGGGAATAGTTTAGCTTCCAAATAGTGAAAGAATTTTTCAAATCGGTTCAGTAGTTTCGAAGCCTATTCAATACAAACAAACAAACGAATCTTTCCTCAGTATATCAGCCTTGGTCTGAGTACTCAGGTATTACTGTGCTTGTTGTCTTTTTTTTAATTATTATTATTGTTAAATCTCTGTTGATATATTAATGTAATGCATGCTGTGATTGCCTCTAATTAGAGTTGCAGTTATCAATTGCTTTATACATGTCAATGTTATTTTATGTCTTACTGTAAGCCCTGTTGGTAATCCTTAAATAAATAAATTTGTAAATTAAAAAATATCGACGCTTGAAAGGCAAACGTGACTAAGCGACAATGCGTGAACTTTACAGTACACTAATTTAATGTTGAAATACCTGAAAACAAAATTTATTTTAACGAATCTAGCTGTAGTAGAATCTAGCTAGTAGCTGTAGGATTTAAATGATTATAATAGACCTAGAAATATAATTTTTTTGCGCATCGAATATGCTTATTGCCTATCATTTATGTACAAAGCAGCTATGGTCGCTTAGTCACGTTTGCCTTTCAAGCGTCGATATATATTATAATCGGTGATTATTTTTTAAGAAATTCAACACGATCGTACGCATTCCCGAAGACGTGCCATCTCTACGAACAAAGATGCAAGCTGAAGAACAAGCAAAACATGGCAAAGCCTAGAGCCGCGATAATACGTATGCAAGTTCATGATAAGATAAAAATGGGAATACTGATTAAACCAAAGCAAAGAAATTATCAACATAAAAACATTTGGAGACGAAAATTATATCTTGTTACTTATAATAACATATGTGTAATGTAGTTAAACTATTTTTTGTATCGCAACGCCGCCTGCGATATAAAAAATACGATGTGATTTCATTTTCCATATATATATTATTTTACAACGAACTTGCATAGTTTCTGAAGGGTACCTAAAGGATTTGAATGAAAGTATAACAACAAAACGAAAGATCCGAATGTGTTATTATTTATTCTTAAAAGTTGTTGAATATGTTTTCAATAAATAATAACGCATTTGTACACACGTTAATATGTAAACAAATATATTCTAATATATTACGCACAAATATAACTTATGACGTGCCAAATTATATGCCAAGTTATTTAAAAGATAATAAATAGATTATATGATAATAAATTTATTTAAATAAAAATATTTAGATCCCCGTCATAAAACCGGGCAAACTATTTAGTCAAATTATTTAGATGTTACCCAAAATATTTAACTCGAATAATATTTTTGTTTATTTAAAAACATTAATATTTTAGCGTAAGACAATTTGATGACTTTCCGATATCCGCGACGCGTTCACGTATGTTCACATTATATGCTGTATTTTTAATGTATTTTTAAGTATGAATGATATTAATTATTATTGTCTTCCATGTAGCTAATGCTTTAGATTAGTTTTAAGATATTGTGTGGCTAAAATCGAGACAACAGAAGAATACGTGCACCGAAATTCTAAATAATTTGTGGCTCAAACGCAAATTCGGTAACAATATTAAATTTTGTTAAATAAAAGAATAAGTAAATTAATTACTTTCCATAAACAAATATTTCTGCATAACTGAGAGAGAGAGAGAGACAGAGAGAGAGAGAATACACTTTATTGCACACCAAAACACAATTTACATTCAAAAAACAATCAACTGAATTGACTATAAAGGCATTGTCGTAATTTTAGCCACGTTTTCATTTATAAGCTCTGCCTAGTATTTTCTAGAGTTATACTAAAATACTATTTTATCCTTAAAGGGCTAGTTTATGCTAATTATTGATGTTTAAAATGAATAAAAATTATATTATGATTAAAGCGCACTTCGACGCGTGAATTTTGAATCTATATGGTGTTAAATGTGAATGTATTAGTGTTCTAAATATTTAAAAAATACTTAGCTGTAATTTATATTATATACTTAGATGGTTATTTAATAAATATTTAATCTTGTTATTTGATTATGTTAATTAATTTTAGTTTGGTTAATCAGCTTTAAATATCATTAATTTATAATAGCCTATTTAGTTTAGTTTAAATATTATATTTTATTCGACAATACTAATGTGTGAGACCAAAGATATTTGTGCTAAAATTTAACAATCTTCTTAACTTATACTGTAGATGACATTTATTAAAATTTCGAGAAATTTATCTTTGAACAATATTTTTAATAACTCTTTTTACATAGCCTGGGCTGTTTTTAATTCGTTCTAAAAGTTTGTATAATATGTTTTATTTACAAGACTTAATCTTATATTCTCTATTAAATAAGAAATATTATATTCTACTGTACTCTTTAATAAAAGAACATCATTTATTTTTCGGTAAATTTTTAACATNCTGTACTCTTTAATAAAAGAACATCATTTATTTTTCGGTAAATTTTTAACATTCTTCTTTGTTTTTAAGAATGTAATGGAAACTTATTGGTAGTTGATAAAATGTTTACAAAAATTATTAAAAACTTTAATCAATTTTGAATGTTATTCTATCGGTTTATTTTAAAAGTGTTTAATAGAAATTAGAAATTTTATTCTAGTTTGTAATCTTATAGATATTTAAGAATTAACATTCCGTGTAATTTTATCTAATCAATAATCATTATTACTTATTTAGTTGGTAAATAAATATTATTATTATTATATGATTATCTCAAAACAATATTGGAATCAGAAATAAAAATACTCAAAATAGTTGCACAGATAATTAAATATTGATTAATAATTTAATACTAATTATTACATTGCTGTTTGATATAATTTACATGAATAAAAATCATTTTAATACTAAATTCCTGTAATAGGTTTATTTATTTAACATCTATGTTCCAGAAAATTTAATTAATGTAAAAATCTTCTACACTTATTTTATTTAATTTATTTCATTAACACTTTAAATTTTAAGTGAAGCAATATGCTGAATTCTGGTATTTAGGTAATTACTTCATTTAGAGACATAACATTACAGTTTAGTATATTTGTATATTGTTTTTACATAAATTCCAGTACCATTTGTATTGTTTACTAAACTTGAGCGATTAGTTACATAACAAATTCATTCATTAATAATAATTATAGTAGTCGTTTTTGTTTATTATTTGATTCAATAATTTCAAACATATTCTTATCGGTTGAGTAATACATAAATAGTATAAAGTATTTAGTCATTTTGAAGTAAACAACAAATTGAAACAGAACATTTTGAAATGGAGTTATAGATTTAAAAATACCATGAAGTTTGATCCGCGTGTACCTCTAGACCAGGAGTTCCCAAACTTATTTTGTCTACTGCCCACTTTGAGAATAAATTATTTTTTAGCGCCCCCATTTTTTCACCTACCTAAAAACCACTATGGCGAGAGCTCAGTTGGTATCTAAGAGTCTTCCTAGATGAAATTACAAATTGCCTCCCAAGCCTCTACACAACGCCCCCATTTTTTTCTGAGTCTGCAGCGCCCACAAGGGGGCGTTATCGCCCACTTTGGGGAAGGCTGCTCTAGACTGTGACATTAACCAGGTCAAAGATACTGATTGTATTGGTTTGAGTATTCATGATCAGGGCTTTCCAATCTTCTGCCAAATTTTACTGAAAGGTTGAGGATAAGGATGCAAGTCGAAAGGAAAAAAAACCAAACCATCATTTTGTCAAACGAATTTTTAATTTAAATTATTTCCAATCGTTATGATTTATTTATAAAATAAGACAAACTACATTAATGTTACCTATAATGAAAAACTTCATAGCATTTTTAAAAGTAATCAATAGTCATAATATAAATACATGTTATTTCAAAATGTAATTAAATGTATCTTAGTCAATCACATATCGTAGAGAGAAAAAGTGTTTTGTTTTTTAGATTCTATATTAAATCATGAAAATATATTTATTTGTTTAACTTAAAAGTTGTGATTTGATTTGTCCCAGTACCATCCGTGTATTTATAAGGGTATTCGCAAAATGTTTTAATGAAACAGCTACTTGCTCACGTCTATGGGAGTGCACTGAGATTCTACCGGTGGTAGGATCTCTTGTGAGTCAGCACGTATAGGTACCGCCACCTTGCCTATTTTCTGCCGTGAAGCAGTAATGCGTTTCGGTTTCATGGGTGTCCTCGTGCCAAGCCGTTGTAACTATACTGAGATCTTATAATTCATATCTCAGGGTGGATGTCGAAATTTACGTTATAGATATCTACGGGCTCCGGTAATTACTTAACACCAGGTGGGCTGTGAGCTCTTCCACCCATGTATGCAATTCCGCACTTCCTTCAGATTGGTAGGCTATCTCACGGTCTACCTCATATTAAGTGCTTATCAAAGCGCATAGATATAAAAACATAAATTCCGCCCTTACATAAGGTCGATCTTGTTGGCTTTAAAACCGAAATACCTAAGTCCTCTGAAACCTAAGCCTTTGAAAATATTCCTTAGCACCAATATGAGGTATTCTGTCCGCATATATTAGCACCAACATTCTGACCTCATGTCTATGGACTCCGGAACCACTCATCTGCCAGTATTCTAACGTCACCTTGATTGGTAGGTGAGCTCACGGGGCTTAGTCTGCAAGAATTTGAGAACACATTCCCTAGCAAGAGCAGTGCTTTGCTGAATCTAGTACTAGATAAAAANATTCCTTAGCACCAATATGAGGTATTCTGTCCGCATATATTAGCACCAACATTCTGACCTCATGTCTATGGACTCCGGAACCACTCATCTGCCAGTATTCTAACGTCACCTTGATTGGTAGGTGAGCTCACGGGGCTTAGTCTGCAAGAATTTGAGAACACATTCCCTAGCAAGAGCAGTGCTTTGCTGAATCTAGTACCAGATAAAAATAGCGACCCATTGAGAAAATCAGTGTGTCGCATCTATGGGTGCTGGTGGAAAGAAGCCTTGTAAGAATCCCAGGCAGGACCCCATTGTGGACTCTCAGGCGTCCGCGAGCATTTGGCACATGCCAAACGAAAATCTAAAGCAATATTTTAATCTAAGGAAACCTCCGGATCGCAAATTAAAATAATAACGTCACTCCGCTAATAATAAACGTATTTGGTCAACGTATTAGTGGAATCACGTCGCGTTTTAGCGATCATTTGCAAATGCCTTACGAACATAGACTTATGATGTAATAGCGCGATCGCCTTGGTCCCACGATAGCAAAACCATAGTTTCACTGTTACCATAAACAAATTTTTTAGCCAATTCCGCGATGGCTCGGCGATTGTAATACGCACGAATTTTTTATGTAGGAATATTTTACTAGCGAACCGATAGAGCTTAGTTATATTTTTATTGATCACTTTGAAATTCTTGAGATCACACGATCGGATCTTGTCAAAAGGGTTTCTATTTAATTACGATTTATAATGGTGATTCTTACGATTTATTTTTTCGCTTATTGCTTAGATATGTGGACGAGCTCACGGCCAACCTGGTGTTTAGTGGTTACCGGGGTCCATAGACATCTACAACGTAAATACGGCCACACCCTGAGATATGAGTTCTAAAGTCTCAATTCTTAAAGTACAACGTCTGCCTCATCATACGAATTAGAATGTGATTCAAATTCCCGGTTAACAGTAAAAAAAACCCGGGTTTTTTGAGTTAATGCTGCTGCTCTATAATCATTGTGGTACTAATTTCTGAATTC